CCAGTTATGCCAGCACCATTTGTTAAATATGCTTTCTTTTTCCATTTAATATTTTTTGCTTCTTTGTTAAAAATCAGGTGTTCAAAGGTATGTGGATTAATATCCAGATCTTCAAATCGGTTCCCTTGGTCCTCCTGTCTGTTCTTATGCCAGTACCAGGCAGTTTTCAGTACTGTAGCTCTGTAGTAGAGTTTGAAGTCAAGGATTGTGATGCCTCCAGAAGTTCCTTTATTGTATAGGATTGTTTTGGCTAGCCTGGGCTTTTTGCTTTTCCATATAAAGTTGAGTACCATTCTTTCAAGGTCTGTGAAGAATTTTGCTGGGATTTTGATGGAGCTTGCATTGAATCTGTAGATTGCTTTTGGTAAGATTGCCATTTTTACTATGTTAATTCTGCCTGCCCAAGAGCATGGGAGATCTTTCCACTTTCTGGTGTCTTCTTCAATTTCTTTCTTCAAAGATTTAAAGTTCTTGTCATACAAGTCTTCCACTTGTTTGATTACCTCTACATTTCTTGATGATTTAGTTAGAGGAATGTTTTCTGGACCCCTTAAATGTGGGTCAGGTTGACTAAAGTTTATGAGAAACTTAGTCCACCACTGTCATCTCCAAAATATTCTGATTCCCTCTATAGCATGCCAAGTAAATTCTAGCATTTCAAGATTATTAACTATGGGCCTATGGGCTGCTACTAAATCTTTTTTTTTTTTTTTTGAGACAGGGTTTCTCTGTAGCTTTGGGAGCCTGTCCTGGAACTAGCTCTTGTAGACCAGGCTGGCCTCGAACTCACAGAGATCCACCTGCCACTGCCACCACCGCCCGGCTCATTATTAAATCTTTTTTTTAAAATATTTATTTATTTATTATGTATACAATATTCTGTCTGCATGTATACCTGCAGGCCAGAAGAGGGCACCAGATCTCATTACAGATGGTTGTGAGCCACCATGTGGTTGCTGGGAATTGAACTCAGGACCTTTGGAAGAACAGGCAATGCTCTTAACCGCTGAGCCATCTCTCCAGTTCCTCGCTATTAAATCTTGATGGCTTTAATTAACTAAACTAACAGGCGATTAGTGCCCCTCCCAGGTGCTGGAGCCAACATATTAAAGCCCAAATCTTGGATGTGCATCCATGGAAATGAACTTGGAAAACTCAACATTCCAAGGGTCCTATGTGCTCCCTCTTCTCTCCTTCCCTTTCCCTTCCCTCTCTCTGAGACAGGGTCTCATGGAGCCCAGTCTGCACTCTAGCTTGAATTTTTCACTCTCCTGCCTCCATGTCCCAAGTGCGAGAATTACAGGAAGACAGCACTGTGTCTGGTTTTATGTGGTATTGGGGACGGAACTTGTCGCTTCATGTATAGTAATGCTCTAGCAGTTCACTTACTCTTCTGAGTTTATTCATCTCTGTGTGTATGTGTGTGAGTATGTGTGTGTGTATGTATGTATATACATATGACAACATATGTGTGGAAGTCAGAGGACAGCTTATACCCAGAGTTAGTTACAGCTTTCTATCTTGTTGGAGCAGGGTCTCTCGTTTTTGCCACTGTGCGACACATCTAGATCTACATCTCTACATGTATGATATAGGACACAGATTTAGATATGCACATTTATGACACAGATGTAGAGCTGTAGATATAGACATGTGATGTCCCTGACCCATCTCAGGGTCCCAGTCCTCACTAAGTTTTATCTTTCTTACTTTTGCCAATGAGATCTGGAAGACCAGGATCCCAGGAATCTCCGGGGACTAAGATGGGAGGTGGCGGGTTGAAGACCTTCCTGAGTTATACAAAGAGATCCTATAAAAAGAAAGGTGGCAGGAGGGGAGGCTGGGGAGATGGCTCAGAGCCTAAGAGTATTGGCAGCTCTTCCAGAGGTCCTGAGTTCAATTCCCAGCAACAATATGGTGGCTCACAACCATCTATCATGAGATCTAGTGCCCTCTTCTGGCATGGAGGTGTACATGCAGGAGGAACGTTGTATACATAATAAATAATCTTTAAGAAAAATGGAGGTGGGGTCATCTGGAAGAACTGAGCATTTAACCAGCGCTGGAACTTGGCCGGCTTTCAGTCAGGGGCCATCCCAAGCTGCCATCAAGACACCCCAGGTGTACCCTCACATTACAGATGTGGCATACCCCTCGTGTGTTCCCCTGTGAACACCAGAACAGGCACCACGGCCATGCAGAGCTGGTCACGATACCTGCGCTGCTTTCCTCACAAAGAATGAGACCGCTAGTCATATGCTTGTCCCTTTTAAAATGTGGGAAGTCCCACCCTGACCCCGCTTCAGGTCTGCCCTGGAAGGAAGCTGGTCTAGCACTGGTGAGGAAGGACAGGAAGCGGTGACACAGGACACTGGAAATCTAAGGAGGGCTTAGTAGTTGTGGCGCGCTCCTTGACCAGCAAGCAAGAACGACCACGAGTTGAGGATTCTTCCCAAATCACACTTTATTGGAGCCTCTCGGTTGAAGGGAGAGCGGGGAGTGAGAGAGGGAGAGAGAGAGGAAGAGAGAGAGAGAGAGAAAGCAAGAAAGAGGAAGCGAGAGAGAGGGGAAAAGCCAAGCAGCAGCTGCTTTTCTAGGTTGGAGGTACTCGGATACTGTCCTGATTGGTGAATACCATTCTGCTGGTGCTTGGGGCCTCGTGATTGGCCAGGAACAAGGCTCAGTTGTGCAAATGCAGGCAAAGGGTACTCAGCCCCACGCGGCAACTTCAAAAGGATTTGGTTACCTCCAAGCTGTAGGACCGCCAGCGCCATTTCTTAATGGCGATGTCCTGACGGCTCCTTACAAGTAGTGTCCTTTGACAGTAGTGTGGGTAAGAGAACTCCCCGGAGGCAATGGAACACAGGAGGGAATGGGAAGGGAGAGTGTCAGAGCTGTGAGAGTGGCTGCCACCGACGTGACCCTCCCGAGGAGGGAAACAGAAGGAAATCTGGTGACACCCTCTTTCGCCCACGTTCTCTCCCACCTCTTGGCCGGACCCCAACACCAGAGGGCAAGGAGTACACTGAACCAAGTGAACGTGTTGGGTCCAGAAAGTTGGGCGAACTGGGATGGAAAGAGGGCTTCCAGGGCCACAGGAGAGATCACCAAGGACACTTAATTATGGCCCTTCAGGGCTGGAAAGATTGCTCAGTGGTTAAGCGCTTTGGCTGTCCTTCTAGAAGCTCAGAGTTCAATTCCCAGCACCCACCTTGACTAACAAACAAGGGCTCTGTCACCCTTGTATGGCTTTTTGAGGGCACTGCATGCATGTGGCGCACAGACATAGCTGCACATAAAATGAAAATAAAGGGAACAATTGAAAATGGCCTTTATCGAGCATCCACTGTGATCCTAGCCAATCAGAGGAAGCATACGGAAGCAGGTCCACTGGTCACAACGTCTGAAACAGAGATAAGTAAAAAAAATTGGCTCTGCTGGGTGGTGGTGGCACAGACCTTTAATCCCAGCACTTGGGAGGCAGAGGCACGTGGATCTCTGTGTGAAGCCAGGCTGGTCTACAAGAGCTAGTTCTAGGACAGGCTCCAAAGCCGCAGAGAAACCTTGTCTCAAAAAACAAAACAAAACAAACAAATACGCTTAAAAGTCATTATAATTCAGCCGGGCAGTGGTGGCACATGCTTTTAATCCCAGCACTGGGGAGGCAGAGGCAGGCGGATCTCTGTGAGTTTGGGGCCAGACTGGTCTACGGGGTAAACCATGAGAAGCAAGTCATGGCCTCTGTGTCAGTTCTTGTCTCCAGGATCCCTGTTTGAGTTTTTTTTTTGTTGTTGTTTGTTTGTTTCTTAAAGATTTTATTTATTTGTTTGTTTATTATATATACAATATTCTGCCTGCATGTTTCCCTGCAGGCCAGAAGAGGGCACCAGATCTCATTACAGATGGTTGTGAGCCACCATGCGGTTTCTGGAAATTGAACTCAGGACCACTGGAAGAGCATCCAGTGCTCTTAACCTCTGAGCCATCTCGCCAGCACCCTATTTGAGTTCCCATCCTGAATTCCTTCGGTGACGAACAGCAATATGGAAGTGTAAGGTGAATAAACCTTTTCCTGCCCAACCTGCTTTTTGGTCATGGTGTTTCATCGCAGCAATAGAAGCCCCAATTGAGACACGGGATCCCCAGAGCAAACTGGCTGAAGAGACTAGCCATATCAGCAAGCTCTAGGTTTGTTCGAGAGGCTCTCCATCATTAAATAAGGCAGAAGAAAGGTATAGAATGACTCCTGATGTCCACCTCCATACACATGTACATTGTGTGTCCTCACACCACACACACATTGAAAAAAAAATCAAGACTATCTCGTGGTATATTGTAAGTTCAAGGCTAGCCTTGACTACATGAGACCTTGAAAAAAATCATGGGGCTGGGAATAAAGTTGCTGAGTCGTCACAGCCGCCTGCTGGCTTCACAGGGTGGCTTAAGGTGAGGGTAATCAGGCTGCGTCCTTTTTAAATTCGGCCAATTATGTGTTACTGATTTCTGGCGAGTGCCAGACTAAGCTGTTTATTATTTATTAACCTCTTTCAGTATGTAGCCCATCCAGGCTGACTCCACGACCTGGGCATATAGTATTACAGGCCACGGCATCCTGTTCAGACTGGCTTTGATGACTTTAGAAACCTGATTATCCGAGTCAGGATGTGTAGCTCAGCGACACTGCGGGAGATAGTAAGAGCCCTTGTCTCAATACCAAAACAGGCAACAAACACCCAAGCAACAGCAAAAAACCAAACCAACCAACCCGTGGGATTTGATCCTTAGTACCACAACTAACAAAAGGAGTATGAAGAGAGCACGCGGTTGGGAGCGGCAGACAGAATCACAGCCTGGACCACTGACTGAGGCCGTCTCAAATACAAACACTCAGCAGGTCCTGCTGCAGCCTGTGCCCGCGCCTCTGCCTGTGCAGAAGAAGTGTGATTTTCTTTCTCTTTCTTTGCAGAAGGGAAGTGTGATTTTATCTTTCCCTTCCTTCCTTCTTTCCTTCCTGGCATATACTCCTGGGATGTGAGCTGGGGGTTAACTGAGTCTGCAGCTTTGGCAGGAACAGCTCAGGTTCTGGAGGTCTAACCTGAGCTAGACTTTTTGGTACGGTCTGAGGTTTCCCCTCCCCTTTCCGCGAAGATGGTTGCTCCCACATCGCACGGAAGTGCTTGTGGTCCGGTCCCGGGGTTGGACTGGTGGCAGGACATGGAGCTGCGGGGTCCTGTCGGCAGCCCTAGCAGAGCACCGGCTTCCGCCGAACCGGCTCAGACCTCGGTGACCCTGGCGCAGCTCCTGCAGCTGGTCCAAGAGGGCCGGGAACCGCCGGGTCTGGAGAAACGCCACATCACTGCCACGCACGGCGAACCGACGGCGTCGCTGCTTCCGCGGAGGCCCAAGCCCTGGGAGGACGCAAGCTCGGCCGCCTCGTCCCGCAGCACCAACCTAGATTCGTGCTCGCAGTCTCCGACCGTGGGGGAGCCGGCCCCGGGCAGTCCAGCGACCCAGCGTGCCGGAGGTCCAGCGAGTTCCTGAGCTCCAGGGCTTTCGCAGCCGAGATCCGGAGGGCGTGACTGGCTCCTGCAGGAGCCTGAGGATCTGGACAGCTGCCTCCTTTACTCATGGGTCCGCATCTGTTCTGACCTGTCTCAGCCGTACCGTCTTCCCGGGAGACTCAATGCTGCCCAGGAATTTTGGTTTGGACGATGAATCTCAACTGCATACCATATTCTGTATAATTGAAACAAGTATTTTACCACCTGCTCACAGTAACGGGCTACCTTTTGATGATACTGATAAACCAGAGAGCCAAGTCATTTCTAATTTTGTGGTCGTTTGGGTTTTATGATAGAACTCGGTTTTCGAAATGATGCAAGTGAAATTCATACTTTTTGAGACACGGTTTCTGTGTAGCCCTGGCTGTCCTCAAACTCACTCTAGACCAGCCTGGCCTGAGTGATGGGATTAAAGGGGCGTGCCGTCACCCCCACTGGACCCCCTATTCAAAATTGAGCGACAACAAAACCTAGAAATCCTGCCTCTTAATCAAGCCCTGGCTTGGCACCAGGAACCTTACCTACCGAGCCATCTCCGAAGTTACAATTACAGTTGTCAACTGCCTTGTGGGTGCTGGGAAGGACCGCATCAATGCTCTCTACCAGAGCAATGAGTGGTAGGTGTCAGATGCTGGAGCTGGCTGAGGTCTTAGCCACTGAACCATGCTCAGGCTCCCTGAAATCTGTTTGAGAAAGGTCTCCACACAGCGATGGCTGACCCTGAACTCACTCTTGTAGACCAGCTTCTGCCTCCTGAGTGCTGGGATTAGGGTTATGCATTAGCACACCAGGCTTCCAAGAAGTCTTTTTGCTTTTATGAAACAGGGTTGTCTCTGTAGTGTTGGAGCCTGTCCTGGAACTCACCCTGTAGACCAAGCTGGCCTTGAATTTAGAGATCTGCCAGTCTCTACCTCCCAATTGTTGGGATTAACAGCATGTGCCACCACCGCAGCCCAAGTAGTCTTTTAAACAGGCCCAGTGACTCACATTTTCCACTTTCTAAAAACTAAAACCCAAATAGCAGCATGAAGTCTATCCACGTAGTTTAGTGACTAAAACAGCAGGGGCAACGTAACCCCCACCTGTCTGGGGCAGTGAGTAACAGGGACCAAATCTATTAACTCGGTGCCTAAATCAGGGCAGCCTTAAAGATCCATCCACTTGACAAACACCACCACTCTTGTTTTTTGAGACAGGGTTTCTCTGTGTAACCCCAGCTGTCCTGGAACTTGCTCTTGTAAACCAGGATGCCCACCAGCTCTGCTGGGATTGAAGGCATGCGCCACCACTGCCCATGGCTCTAAACACACTTTAGGTAACTCTGGGATGGGAACACTTGCTACTTTGAGGACCTGGAGTGATCTCCAACACCAGGGGACCAGACACTTTCTGGCTGCTTTGGGTGGCACTCAAGGTATATATTCACACACAATAAACCTTAAAATAATCTTTTAATTATTTTAAAAACTTGCTTCAATTCTGAGCAAGGCAGACATTTGTGAAGATACTAGCTCCACTTTGTAGGCCAGAAACTGAAGCCATGCTCCCTTACTGTAGATCACAGGGCCTCACATAGTAGGCGAGCACTTCATATGTTCCCTCATTTAGTATGCTACACATGAGCATCTCCATGACTGCAATGCATTTTTGGTTACCTCATCTCCCAGTGCTCCACAGCAGAGTTAAATTGACCTCTGGCAGATTCTGGGACCCACCGACTTTGTAACCCCTATGTATTGAGGCACTGTTAAAGTTTTTCCCTTTTTCTAACTCAGCTTCACAGTGAGGTCCCAGGAAAGCTCAAGGGAAGCAACGGTTAAGAATGTGAACCCCAGTGTGGGTTGCAAGGAAAGGCTGATGGGGGGATTTCCAAGACACATTTTTGTTTTGAGGAGGTTGGGGTGTGTGTGTGTGTGTGTGTGTGTGTGTGTGTGTGTGTGTGTGTGTGTGTGTGTGTG